TATTATAGTACTTAATCGTTAACCCCTACTGCCCCATCTGGCAGCGGTATTGGTAATGATGTAAACATCGCCTGAAACAAAACTCTCTTGGTATTTAGGGTCACGACCCCTTACCCTCGACTCACGACCCCTGTGACCTATTTTCTCCATTAGTTGTGTAACGGTTCCGTTTCAAACTGCGGTTACGACATATCTTTTGCAATATGTAAAGAATCATTAAAACGTAAAACTTTCGTTCGTATAATCCGATTTTCTACGAAAATGCATGTCGATCAACTTCGAACAAACTTAATCCCCAATTTGCGTGTTTGGAAGCTCAGTTTTGAAACATGATTTAAAGTGAAAAATATTTCAAATATCGATTTTCCATAATAAAATGATTGACACGGTTAGGTAATAAATTACACGTACAGATAGTCTTTTTTATTACATTGTAATTTATGCACGTACGAGAACTATTAAATTGTTTTTCATATTTAACAATTGTGCACAATATTTACATATTGCTACCCACACAAGCTTGGTCTACAGGGAAAAATTATTGACATTGTGACCTAATTGAATACACGTACATGTATATTTTATACTGAAGTAATCGTGCACGTACGAGAACTTAAAAATGGTATGAGCCTTTAAAAATATAAGTGTTCTACATGTATATCTCCACTATCTCTTGTCTTCATGTCTGTCGACGAATATGATTGACATGGTGACCTAATTAATTACACGTGCATTTACACCTTCTTTTTTAATCTGTTGTAATATGCACGTACGAGATTTTAAAAATTGTTATGAGAATTTAAAAATATAAGTGTTCTACATGTATATCTCCACTATCTCTTGTCTTCATGTCTGTCGATAAATATGATTGACATGGTGACCTAATTAATTACACGTGCATTTACACCTTCTTTTTTAATCTGTTGTAATATGCACGTACGAGATTTTAAAAATTGTTATGAGAATTTAAAAATATAAGTGTTCTACATGTATATCTCCACTATCTCTTGTCTTCATGTCTGTCGACGAATATGATTGACATGGTGACCTAATTAACTACGCGTGCATTTATACCTTCTTTTTTAATCTGTTGTAATATGCACGTACGAGATCTTAAAAATTGTTATGAGAATTTAAAAATATAAGTGTTCTACATGTATATCTCCACTATCTCTTGTCTTCATGTCTGTCGACGAATATGATTGACATGGTGACCTTATTAATTACACGTGCATTTATACCTTCTTTTCTAATCTGTTGTAATATGCACGTACGAGAAATTAAAAATTGTCACGAGCCTTTAAAAATATAAGTGTTCTATATCTGCACTATCTTTTGCAACATACAAGCTTCACGTCTGAAGGATTAATGGTTGACATACTGACCTAGTTAATTACACGTGCATTTATGCTTCCTTTTTTAATCTGTTGTAATACGCACGTACGAGAAATTAAAAATTGTCACGAGCCTTTAAAAATATAAGTGTTCTATATCTGCACACAAAATATCATAGTTACACACACAAGCTTCGTGTCTGCAACATAAATAAAGTGACACCTTGACCTAGTTAATTACACGTGCATATCAATTTTTATGCTTTATCCTGTTGAAATCTTGCACGTACGAGAAATATTTTATTGTTTTTCAGTTTGAATATAAGCAATATAAGTGTTCTATATTTGCGCACGTGATAACATAGCTGTGTGCTTCATATCTGGTAGAAAATATGATTGACATGGTGACCTAATTAATTACACGTGCTGTGTTTATTTAGTAGTAATTCTACATGTATTAATTACGCGTGTTCTATACTAGTGGTAGTTTATATTAGGATCGCGTTACAGGCAATAAAATACACTTGTGCTGTTATTCTTCCATGTTATTTTATGTATTTTTGCGTGCATTGCCTTAAACCAAAGTATATAGTGACATATTTTCAGACTTTTTGTGGATCGCGTTACAGGCAATAATCCCTCATGTGTACTTTTATCGCTGAATATTGTTTTTGTATTTTTGCGTAAAATGTCAAAGAATCATCCATGGTTTTACAATGCCCTTCAGCTCTATTCTGATTATGGGATGCGATATACGCCAAAAATATCAGATGTCCTCTTATCGCCCGCTGTTAGTTGTTTAGGTATTTTTGCGTAAAGTGTTTTTGGAATTATTCATGAGTGATATTCTGCAATAGGTCACCAGTTATGGGTCGCGCTACACGCTATAAATCATAATTAGTACTGTGATTGCTTTTTTAAATTTTATACTTTTGGTGGAAATGTCATGAACTTAGGAGAATTTTTCAATTATGGGGTCAATATTCTCTTGAAATTGAGGCTGCCCTCGACCAGTCGGGATACAAAGTATTTTTCAGGGTTCGAAAATGCCCCACCCCTTCCCTTGCACCAAAACTAGCGCGTCCACCGATTTTTTTTAATACATGCGAGGACTGGCGTACTGGCTCGGCTTCGTATAAATTCACGAACTACAAAAAATATGGAGCGATCTAAAACGGTCGGAATATTATCTTTCATTGTAAAAACAACGAGAATTTTGTTTCCGCAGTTACAAATTTATTTTTTTCGTTTATGACATTTGTTGAAAATGTTACAAAAAATTTAATAACCGTTTCTCGCAGAAGGAGGTATGAAAACCCCGAAAAGGTCACCTTCAGGAAGCTGGCACGATGCCAGGGAAATGATTGGTACCAACATATAGGATGCCTGGAACTCCAGATGGTCGAGTTAGTATTCCACTTTTGGTATTTTCTTCGCGTCGCCATCTTTGATTGAAAACAAAGGTATAAGAATTCATTTCAGATCGACTCCGTTCGGTACATCTCTGGATATTTTCGTTTCGGAATAAATTCTTAAAGGGAATCAATAATCGCCATCTTTGATTTTGGCATCATTCGGTTCATCGTTGGTTGTTTTCGATTTTAAATCAAACTTTTTAAGGGTACCACAAAACGTCATCTAAAAATTATTTACTCGCCGCCATCTTGGATTTGTTCTTAAATGATGGATGCTTTAAAGGGGTGCTTCTCGAGACAATAAATGCCTGTAATAAATGCCTTTCGATTCAATGCGATGCCTTCAGAGTAAATATATTGTGCCTCTGAAGTCTATATATGCCTTAAAGTGGCACCCTTTGAGTGAATAAATGCCTTATACTGATGCCTCTTAGTCAATATATACCTTGAAATAATGCCTCTGCCTTACGTACACCGGTGCCTGAAATTGGTACACCAATGGATGCCTAATGCCTCTCGAGCTCTTGGCATCAAACACGGAAATTTCTACTGCGAAGTCTGAAATTTGTTTAGACATCGAATCTAAATAATTCGGCACGGCCAAATAGTTTTATTTTACGGCGAAGAAATATAAGCTACGATCAAGGCGGGAGTTCGGGTATATCGTTTCTGACAGCGAACCAAGTACCACTAGTCTTTGCTTGGCAATGTCCGGACATGTTTTACCAAATAATCCAGTCAAATTTTGTCGGACAATTAACATATAATTTGAAAAGGATTTAACACTTATTCAGCCAAATCTCTCCATTGATGAAAAGACCTAATTTTAAGTCCTTTTGATAAAATTAACCCCTGTAACTCGCAAAGTGGAGATCTGTGGCGAAAAATAAAGAAAGTGGGTGGAGCCATTGTCATATTGAATGGGCGGAGCTAACGGTACTTCACGACACGTGGTGTAAACAATAGATAGTATAGTAGGCGTGGTTATTGATTTGATTGGTCTGTCCTGGGACGAGTGGTTAATCGGTTCAGGTATAGACATAAACTCGTAAATCGGTCTACTGTATAGTGTTGCAAACTTTTGCTGTGATCAGTTCTTAGTATATGTGTGCTTGTGCCGTGGGTTTAACTGAACAACAGACTTTTCTTCTTTGGATACCCTATTTTAGTGATACCCTTTTTGGAGTACAGTAATCGAACTTCGAAAACAAAAATCTCGGAATACCCTGCTTTAAGAAAAAAAAATCGTCTGCTAAAAAATATTTTTTGTACGTTGCCGTAGCAACCTTTTTGTGTAGTATTTATCTTTAGTTTGTTCATTTTCTCCCTCAATTTTTAATCAAAAATGGCCACTACACCTACTCCAATTAGCAACGGAATTTCTCAAAAAGACACAACCTTCACGAAAATATTCGTTGGGGGCTTGCCTTACCATACGACCGACGCTTCTTTACGGGAATATTTCGACAAATTTGGAGATATCGAAGAAGCGGTAGTTATTACGGACCGACAGACCGGAAAAAGTCGTGGATATGGATTTGTAAGTACTCTTTTTTGCTTTTCCTTGCAGCCTTTGGCCTCCCTATGCCTTGATTTCCCCTAGTTTTGTTTGGTATTTGTGATGGATGGATTCTAACCAAACGTGGAACAAACGTCAGTTCCCTTCATAATTTCTGATGTCACGACCATTGCTTTCGGAAGCAAAGTCAATGAAGGCATCGCGATTTCATGATGTAAGATCTGTGTCGGTATCATGGCCTTTGATGTCCATCTTCATGTATTCACTGTGTTGAGTTATAGTATAAACGATAGCCTACTCGTCTAACGAGACACTCTATGGTTATAGCTTACTTTTACTGTTATACTATACACGTGTAACCAGTGTACAGGCTTACTACTGGTGTATATTGGAAAATAAAAGTTTGAAATTCTCAAGACGCTAGACATTGTATATTTTGACGTCGAAGTCTTGAGAATGTTTCATGATAAGTATTCTACCATTGCTCTAGGCTATAATACTCATGTACTGAACAATTCTTCAAAGGCTTTGCCTTGGTCTAACAAAGCCCTTAATGGATATCGCCTATTTTGACTGATATACTCTTGACGTGTAAGTAACGCATAGGCCATACCATGAAGGGAACCATTCCGAATCCATCATTGCTCTAGGCTGTAATACTCTTGTGAATAATCTTTTTTCACAGATTTCGTCTTGGTCTAACATGACCCTTAACGTATATTGCCTATTTTGACTGATATACTATTGACGTGTAACCAATTCATAGGCCATAGTACGAAGAAAATCAGCCTTAATCAATCTGACGTTGGACCCATTCAGGCATGATCTGGAGGGAAGAAATCCAACAAGACCCTCAATGGATATTGGCTATTTTGACTGATATACTATTGACGTGTAAGCAATGAATAGGCTAAATGCATAGTACCTAATAATACAAAAGTGGAAGTGGAAAAAGTCTACCCAAATCCATCTGAACTTGGATCCATTAGCTTTTAAGTATCTTGGGGAACAATATCCAAATTTTTCCACACAAAAAAAGGTGGTTCTAAAAAATAGATAAAACACATGAAACCACACAAGATTTTTTTTATGTGGAAGATAACAATTTGGGTGTTACTTTATGACGGTATCTATGTTATAAATACTTTTACTATCGTATAATAATAGCATGATGATTTTTATGAGGCCACCTTGACCGAGGCTGACGAAACCCTCTTGTCCAAAACGCCAAAGTCTTTGTTTTCAGACCTCTCGGTCAAACGTGAGTTGTATTGGATAAAGTATAAAGTTTAGGGATATTTGTTCAAAAGGAATAATGTTATAGGCGACTGACGAGGGAACATTGTCCGAAACTTGAGTCTTTTGGTCTAAACCTCATGACGAACCATATTTATTTGGCTCTCCCATTGTGGTTACTAATTGCTTTATCTTTGGGGATGTCCTTCAAGATTTGACTTGCCTATTGTCTTCGTTTTAACAATTCAATAATTTCGTTTTTTCTTTACCAAAAAATCATAAATTTGTACAAATCACATCTGTATAACGTCTGCAAACAATGAAAATTTGAAATTTTCCTGTCCAATTTTTTTAAAAAAAGGCCTATCCTTGGTGGTGTCCTTCAAAATCTAACTTGGCTATTGTCTTATTCGTTTTAACAATTCAATAATTTCGTTTTCTTTTAAAAAGAAAATCCAAAATTTGTACAAATCACACCTTCTTAACGACAACCAAAAAATAAAAACGTCAACAAACTATAGTGCATGGTGTTGATTCAAGCTTACGTGTGTTTTCTGAACACAACAAAAAGTGGTATTTGTTCAGATTCTGTTGGAAAACCACGACAATCGAAAAACGACTCGTTAAATACTCGTTTAAGGACAAAAAAAAAGTTTTTGAGCTACTATGGTTTAAAATAGGCATTTTGATGAAATATCTTAAAATTCAGAAATCTTTCGTTTTGTGTTAAACAATTTCTTGCACGTCCTGTGGCATTTTTGATCCAGAATTTTAATTTTTCGTTTTCGTTTATTATTTTGCTGCATATTTTGAAAGATCGTTAAAGGTCGAGACAAGAAGAATGTCTGATTCCACGAGCAGTACATACGAGTATCGGTCTTGTGTCCCATCACAATCCCTACGCGACCCCGAATTTTTCCACCATTGCCCACTATCACATCATGAAACACCCTATGTGCAGGCTATGTGTGTCACTATTTACACTTAAGATTAGGCAAATCACCCAACACGTCTACAAACTAATATTCATGTAAACATTAAGTTATCTTTTAGAACGATCTGACCCCTTTTTGGAAATACGATATCAGCCATTCGGCATTAGCTATTACTGCGTCTAATACCTTGACTGCAATCACCACTATTCTTGTATCACACCAGTTTGTAGGGACAGCATTTTGATTGGATCGTACGTGAGCGAATACAGCCAATCAGAAAACAATAAGTCATTATGTTTAGGCCTACAGTCTTTCTGTCGAAGGCTCCGATTGGCTGTACTCTCTGGCGTACAATCCAATCAAATTGCTGTATTTAGTGATACAAGAAAGATGACTATTTCAGTCAAAGTATAAGACGAAGTTCCTTACTCAAAACTTGACATTGTTCAAATGGACGGAAGTGTGTACCACCGGAACAGCAACGACAAAAAGACAGGATATTCAAGCCTACACACAAGCAGAGAAAAAAACCCAAAACATGTTCTCTGAAGGAAACTGCATAGATATCAATAGTAGCTTCCGGTAGCTTCCCTCTAGTGACGTCATAAAACGCGTTAGTTTTAGTGGAATTACAAGAACCACAGACGTCTAATTGAAAATTGGAATGGTGCAAATTGAAGCTATCAGTGTCCCTGATACACATACAGAATTTTAGAAAACCTCTTTACAATCCCTTTAAAGCCTACACAAAAGAGCATTCAGACCAATAAATAACAGAATCTGTAGGATGTACAAGGTTCGCTCAGTAACATCTGCCGTGTTTATGACGGAGTATTTTTTCTAACATCTGGTTACAAAATTCAAAACATTATTCAGAATTCATTTGAAATTTTACTTTCACATCTGTGGCAGAAAAATGCGTGGATTTTTTTATTGCCGAGAGGTTGAAAATCAGGTGTAGCGGTGGTGGAACTGGATGCACGTTATAAGACCCTGAAAAAAAGCGAACATCATTAATGGTAATCGGATAACCGGTATCCCAAGTTGGAAATTTATAATATTCGAAAATTCCAGGAACCACAGAAGTCTGATTGAAAATTAGAATGGTGTAAATTTATGCTATCAGTGTCCCTGATACACATAAAAAATTTAGAAAACCTCTTCACAATCTCTTTAAGACAAAAATTCATTGTTTAATTTCTTTGGTTTAATAGTACACGTGACGTCGCGACGTTCTCTATGGACGCGCTTTAGTACGTGCATTTTTTGGTGCATTTAGCTAAGTAACTTAAAAAACAAGATTTCCATTTGTGCAACCGACCAACATTTAAGGACGGGTTATCAAAGCAAGAAAAATCTCTACAAATTTAATCAACTTTGACAAATTTAATAAAATTAATTAGACCGCCACAAAATACAAACCAGAATACTTTGAAATTCGCCAAGTCTGACTCAAACACGTGGCAAATTAAAAAATGAGAATTCGAAATAAATTCAATATGAAACGAACTGAATATTATATTACCTGCAATTAAATTTGACGATCGATAAGAATACATTTTTTTGATCTGATGTTGTTTATTTATGAGATTGTGTAAACGGATGTCGTGTGACGAATAAATGATTTGAGAGACAGATGGACGAATGATAAGTAATATTGTTATTATGATGATCAAGTAATTTGATGTTCATGTAATGCGATGAACAAGTAATGAGATGAACAGGTTATTAGACGAACAAGTAATGCGATGAACAGGTTATTAGACGAACAAGTAATGCGATGAACAGGTTATTAAACGAACAAGTAATGCGATGTACAAGTAATGAGATGAACAGGTTATTAGACGAACAAGTAATGCGATGAACAAATAATGAGATGAACAGCTTATTAGACGAACAAGTAATGTGATGAACAGGTTATTAGACGAACAAGTAATGCGATGAACAGGTTATTAGACGAACAAGTAATGCGATGAACAGGTTATTAGACGAACAGGTTATTAGACGAACAAGTAATGTGATGAACAAGTAATGAGATGAACAAGTTATTAGACAAACAAGTAATGAGATGAACAAGTTATTAGACAAACTGGTAATGAGATGAACAAGTTATTAGACGATCAAGTAATGAGATGAACAAGTAATGCTATGAACAATTAATCTCACAAACGAGTAATCTGATGAACAAATTATTAGACGAATAAGTAATGCGATGAACAAGTAGAACAAGTAATGCGATGAACAAGTAGAACAAGTAATGTGATGAACAAGTAGAACAAGTAATGTGAAGAAAGGTAATGTGATGAACAAGTAATGTGAAAAAAGGTGATGGGATAAACAAGTAATGTGATGACCAAGTAATGTGATGAACAAGTAGAACAAGTAATGTGATGAAAGGTAATGTGATGAACAAGTAATGTGAAGAAAGGTGATGGGATAAACAAGTAATGTGATGACCAAGTAATGTGATGAACAAGTAGAACAAGTAATGTGAAGAAAGGTAATGGGATAAACAAGTAATATGATGAACAAGTAATGGGATAAACAAGTAATGCGATGAACAAGTAATGAGATGAACAAGTAATGCTAAGAAAGGTAATCTGTTGAACAAACAAGTCGATGTTCAAGTAAAGTATTGTGTTAAGATACGACGAATGTAAAAATCAATTTAAATCGTTTCCTAAGCATTCCGGAAGTAGTATGAATGAACGAACGAACTGATCGAATGAATGAATGAATGAATGAATGAATGAATGAATGAATGAATGAATGAATGAATGAATGAATGAATGAATGAATGAATGAATGAATGAATGAATGAATGAATGAATGAATGAATGAATGAATGAAGCTTATTGGGTTCTTGAAACAATACAACATATTGACATTTGTAAAATTAATTCAGAAATCTGACAAGTTAGTCACAGCTTGTAAACTGTACTATATGTAAATTTCGGATCTGGAATATTTCGCATCATTAAACGAACAGCTAATGTCGATGTCTTCTTTTAATTCAAACTGGAGTTTTACATCCTACTGTTTGGTGACCTGGTTTCCTCCTGTCAGTGAAGCAGTTAAGAGGGACTGACATGGAAAAATTATCCAGCCGTTCGGATGGGACAATAAACCGAGGCCCCGTGTGCTACAGATCGTGTACGTTAACGATCCTTCGACAGTTGGAAATCGAAAAATACCACTGTCCTGGAAAAATTTCCCTCATTGTACACTACATGGCGTTACCCTCATTATCCTTTTCCGTCAGGTGAAGAAAAGTAGGACGTAAAACTCGTTTCATTTTCTAATCCAAGATTACCATGAAATCGGTGACCCATTACTACAATTTTTTGCAACCAAATTGACCATTTGACAGCTGCCGTAGCCCAGACTGCCTTGTTGATGCGGATCGATTGTGGTTTCTCCAATATGTTATGGATTTTTGTAAAGAGAAAGAAACGCTCTATTAACCTCCGCCAAGAATTGTTTTATTCTGTTTTCCTTTGTTCATCTTGAATCTATCAATATTAAAAATTAATTGAGACATTCTTTTCAAAGTCATGTTGCCTTTTGTTTTGAAGTGATGGGCGGATGAATGAACGAATGGATGGGTGGTGAATGGGTGGTGGGTGAATGAACGAATGGATGGGAGGTGAATGGGTGGTGGGTGAATGAATGAATGAATGAATGAATGAATGAAGGGAGGTGAATGGGTGGTGGAAAAGCGAATGGAAGAAGGGAGGTGAATGAATGAATGAATGAATGAATGAATGAAAAGATGAAGGGAGGCGAATGGGTGGTGGAAAACAAATGGAAGAAGGAAGGCGGATGACCGACCGACCGACCGACCGACCGAATCGGTGAATGAACGGATGGACGAACGGATGGACGGATGAAGGAGGTGAATGAATGAATGAATGAATGAAAACTATCTGAATGAATGAACGAATGAACGAACGAACGAACGAATGATATCTTAACCATTGCTAGTTTCAAAAGCATAGAAAGTCCACTTCGAATTTGGGATTTGTGATTGAGAAACCAACGTGTAATAATACAGAATAATATAGAACACCACCAAGGGTGTTATTACCAGTGTTAAGATAGTGTTCAGATAGCGTTAAGGGTGTTATATAAGTGTTAACGCACTGATATTAGCCAATATCACTCCCACTTACCAGCGTCTTACCTTTCATTATCAAAAACAAACTATGTCAAATTGATAAACACCAAAAACACCTCCTTTATTCTCTGGTTTTTACGAGAAACTTTCTAGCTGCGAAATTTCACTGAAATTTTACTGAATTTCATCGGGATATTTCATGAATATTTTGTCGTTATTTCACGTCATTTTCCATGGAATCTCTTCGATATTTCAATGAATGTATCATTGAATATCGTGGAATTGTACATTGAATATCGTGGAATTGTACCATCGATATTTCCCTGAGCTGCACCATCAATATTTTTCAGTATTTCATCTCATCGTTGATGACACTTTCATGGTACATTGGTTTCAATATTTCAATGAATTTCATTAAGAAATATCCACATATTTCGTGGTATAGGGCCTTTAATACATCACAAATTTAGTCTCAAGGTTAATGAATTGATTCATTAAGCATTCTAAAATGACTGGTATGGTACAATGCCAAAAAAATACGACGTTACTCCTTAGTACTGTTGTTATTCGCCACAATATGATTCTGATTCATCATCGACAGATCTTAAGGTTATACTCATAATACTTATTGAGATTCTTTAGAAATGAATAAATGATTCAGGGGTCGAAATGACCTAAAACGATTCGATCGCCCAGGTGTAACTTTTTCTAACTTTGAATCATACTATATACCAACTAGATTGGAGTTTTACGTCCTATTGGTCCGTACCTTATTGAATTGTCTATTAAAATGAAAAACCCACTGCATCGATCTATATGAGAAACCTTTAGAATGAATGAATGAATGAATGAATGAATGAATGAATGAACGAACGAACGAACGAACGAACGAACGAACGAACGAACGAACGAATGAATGAATGAATGAATGAACCAACTGACCGAACGAACGAACAAAGGACCGATGGAATGAATGAATCCTGCCTTTTTTTTTTGTTTTGTGTATCGATTGAAATCATAAACAAACCCCTTCGACTATGAGGACTCTCTAAAACAACCCACAGAGTTGGAATACATACATAGTGGTATCAGGTGTTCCAGAAGAATGATCATGCCATGTTTTGCAAGTGTCGACGGCATAGATTAAAAAAATGCGCCCGATGTGTCATTTTTTGTATTCCTATTATCCCAAATGATTGTAAAAGTCATATGATAAAGAGGCGATGAATTTGTCATGAATAATCCATGAATAACCCATGAATAATCCATGAATACGTGTATAATCGTTCCAATAATAACCAGAGATAATTGGCTAGTGGCATCAGTCGTTATCAAAGCACTTTTATGAATATTATTGGTATTACAACATGCACGAATGAATAAATGATGACACTGGGAAAAGGATGGAATGAATGAATGGCGGAAGGTTGAATGAATGACGGAATGAATGACGATATTGGGAAAAGGGTGGGATGATATTGAATGAATGCATAATGAATGAAGAGAAGGTGAATGAATGAATGAATGAATGAATGAATGAATGAATGAATGACGGGAAGGTGGAATGAATGAATGAATGAAGAGAAGGTGAATGAATGAATGAATGAATGAATGAATGAATGAATGAATGAATGGCGAAATGAATGAATGAATGACGGGAAGGTGGAATGAATGAATAAAAAACTTCTGACAACCTACCAATTCCATTTCTGCAACTTAACACCATACACCATTGCCACTCCTGATATATTACTTGCCCCTCCGAACAATACAGTCTGGCTAGCGGCATGGCTTTGCTTCTGGTAACTGCTTTGGACAGAGGTCAGTCGCATAGCCGTCAAAATAGCGGTGAGGGGCTCAGAGAAGCGGCAAGTTTGGGACTAAGTCTTGCTAAGTCTGGTTAACGTCACATCTGATGCCGGCCAGAATTGAAAGGAAAATGGCCACCGATTCGTTGTCTGACAGAAAAAGAATTCAAACAGACGAATAATACAAAATATTTAAACCTATTTCATAATAGTATTCATTTTATTCCTGGATCAATAGCCCAGTGTGTCAAATTTAGATTGTAACCATGGAAACGCTTCTCGTCATGCAGGATACGCTCATGTTGCTCTGACTTAACTCCTGTTTGATTACAGATGTTTAGAGGTGTCATTTGCTATGCTTTATTGATGCATAGCTTGACATCTTCTTTAAATCATCCATCCATCACAATTACCCTAGGGAAGGCATCTCAGGTACCTAAGCCCCCCCCCCCCCCCCCTACCTTTCCTTCTTTTATTAAATCTAGTATTGACATTAACCATAGGAAAAATTTTTGAATTTTTTTTATGGATCTAGAGGTAGGTTTCGGACTATTCAAGTATAAAGTATCCATTTATTAAAGTTCAGATTTTCGGACTATAAAAGTTCCTGATTATCAGCTTCGAAAAGTTCAGAGTTTCGGACTCCAAGAAGCCATTGTTATTTTTGGAAACATGAAGATGTAAACAATAATATTTTCAGGAATTGCAACTTTTGATCACGGAAATCCTTTCTACCAGCTGATCCTTGATCAAACCTCTTGGATATGATCGTCCTGGAGTGTCCATAGCTATTTAGAGCTGAGTTGACTGCAATAATGAGCAAAGATGGCTCTTTTCCAGGGCAACAGTCGATCTTTGCCAAAACGTTTGGCATTGGTGTGTCCAGAAATATCTGTACCCATTTACAACTGGGTCGTCTGGAATGATAAATAGACGCTATTGCCTTTGATTAAGATTGATAAAAGGAGACGCTAATGCTTTTACTGAAGATGTTCTATTTTCTGATTCAAGGTCACAATGTCTGATAGACCAGCAGCAGAACGAGCTTGTAAAGACCCCAATCCAATCATAGATGGTAGAAAGGCCAATGTTAATTTAGCATATTTAGGTGCTAAACCAAGGGGGAATCTCCAAACAGGTAAGCTACATTTTGTGGTATTTTGGGTACTTTTAGTGGTATTTTGGGTACTCATTGTGGTATTTTGTGGTATTTTGGGTGCTCTTTTTGGTATTTTGTGGTATTTTGGGTACTTTTGTGGTATTTTGGGTACTCATTGTGGTATTTTGGGTGCTCTTTTTGGTATTTTGTGGTATTTGGGGTACTTTTATGGTATTTTGGGTACTCATTGTGGTATTTTGGGTGCCCTTTTTGGTATTTTGTGGTATTTTGGGTATTTTTGGTACTATTTGTGGTATTTTGGGTACTTGGATGGTCAGGTCTTTCCTGTCAGACACTTCACTGCAGGCTTGAGACTGATGCCTCCACAGTTGTCCCCCTATTTGTACTCCCAGTCTCTGGAGGCTGGCATCACAACTACTTTAGGTGCTTTGGTTTGATGGTTGCACGAGGACTCTTGGTGGTGTCCATGGATGGCTATAGGACTAAAGGATACCCAATGTGTTAAAGTATATTCTCCATAATAAAAAATAATTTTTATTACAAAACCATTTTGGTAATATCTAATTTAGAAAAATTCCCCCCAAAAAAATGACAAACTGGTAATATCTTGGCAGCTTTGAAAATAGCTTAGCTGATCCAGGAGCTTAAGATATACCCAATTATATCATACAAGGGTATATGAACTCTAAATCCCTTGGACAATCCATTTGAATATAGTTAATCCAGGATTATCTAGGGCTGTATTTAGGCTAATCTCTTGGTTAGAAATAAATATTCATGGACTAATTAAAGATTGATAAAGACTCGAGTAGGTTCGTCAAGATCAATTACACCAAGGCCCTGGTGTTTATTGAGCTATTTTAGGGTCATATACCATTTGATATGATTATGCAGCTATTGATATTTGGTTTCATTTTTTTCTGTGGGATACTTCACTAGAGTTGATAATATTACACCAAGGCCCTGGTGTTGGTTTCATTTATTTTCTATGGGATATTTCACTTGAGCTGACTATATTTTTAAAATTAAACTAGTATGATATGATCATGCAGCTATGGATATTTGGTTTCATTTTTTTCTGTGGGATACTTCACTAGAGTTGATAATATTACACCAAGTCCCTGATGTTTATTGAGCTATTTTGGGGTCATATATCATTTGATGTGATCATGCAGCTATGGATATTTGGTTTCATTTTTTCTATGGGATAACATTCAAAATCAATCAGTCCAATTTTCACATAACAGTCCAAAATTGTTTTTAAAAATAGGTGTAAGGCAAGGATTCTATATTTGACCACTCCAATTAATTAATTTTCATTGAATAATTCTTAAAAAAATCAAAATTTTTAATTCGTCCCATTTTCAAAAAAAATAACAGTCAAATAGGTGTGAGCCAAGGATACCATATTGGACCACCTTTATTTAATGTTTTTATCAATCAGACCAATTTTCCAATTTATTTTCATATTCTTCAGTACAATTTTTTTTAAAAATAAGAGTCAAAATAGGTGTGAGCCAAGGATCCCATATTAGACCACCTTTATTTAATGTTTTTATTAATAACTGTAAAAAGGACAATGGTATATTATACCGTTATTTGGGCTCTCACTTGACTGGTTTCTTTCACCACTGACAAGCTCTAGTCAAAAGTCATCGAGTGGATTTGGGGCTCTGTTAAGGGACATGGTGATCATGAATGGACTTTTAGAAAGTGCAACGACTTAAGTTTTTTTTGGTATGCGCCTTTATGATTTTTCTTGCTTTGTTAAAATTCCCATAGAGTGTTCACAATACAAAATTTTGACCCTCATGACTTTAGGCATTCCTAAGATGTAAAAATTTTAAGGGAATTTCTTTGATTCATCGTCATTTTTTATCCCGAATTTCAAAATGTTTTCTTATAAACTTTGCATCCAAAATGAAAATCCCAAAGATCTGATGAATATTCCTTTAAAGGAAGGACAAAATTTTGTCCCAAATCTTACAATGTTTCCCCCTTTTAGACATCAAACAATTTAAGTCCAAATCCAAATTAAAATCTATGCTCCAAAGCTTATTATAAGCTCTAGGTTCAAAATTTTGTCCAAAAACTTACTATGTTTCCCCCTTTTAGACATCAAACAATTTAAGTTCAAATCCAAATTAAAATCTATGCTCCAAAGCTTATTTTAAGCTCTGATTAAGCTTTAGATTCAACTTGTCTGGTCCTTAAATTTGAAATTATAACCCCAGTTAAGATATGATATAAATAGATTTTATCAGTTATCAGAGGTTTTGGGGTTATTCAGACATCCTTTGGCCTAATTTTAACAAGTCAATATTAGGTATTGCTTTTCTCAAGTGGTGGGAAAACGGATATACTGATAAAATAAATGATTGATAGAGGGAAATAATGAATGAATGATTGAGAGAATGAATGAATGAATGAATGAATAAATGATACCGGGATAAGTTAATGAATGAATGAATGATAGAAGGAAATAATGAATGAATGATACAGGGAATGACTGAATGAATGAATAAGGGAAATTGAACGAATGATAGAGGGATAAATTGGTGAATGAATGAATGAATGATAAATGGGTGAATTATTGAATGAATGATAGAGGGAATTAATGAATGAATGATTCAGGGATAAGTTGATGATTGAATGAATGAAGGAATGAATGATAGAGAGAATGAAGGAATGAATGAAATTAAAAGAAAACATTTCTTTAAAAACTAAATCATAAAACAATTGATTGCCCTGCAGTGTACAATGAGGGAAATTTTGCCAGGTCCAGGACAGCTAAATTAGCCTTAACTTTTATCAATTTCCAACTGTCAAGGGATCTTAAACGTGCACAGCCTGTAGCACAAGGGGCCTTGGTTTATTATCCCATCTGAACAACTAGCCAGTGCTCCTAGCCTGTTCAGCTGGCCCAGTAAGAAAGTAAGGGACCCAAAAAAACCCTGATAGAGCCCCAATCTAAATGAGTATATATGTTAAAGGTGTTTTGAGTCCATTATAATATAATTCAATAATCACCATAAGTCTTTTATTTCTCTCTTATTCTGAAAAAACCCTGACGTGAGCCCCACAAAAACCACTGAAATACATTGTATGGCTTTATTTTGACTGTCCTTGGTCACAAAGCTATCATCAGATGTTATTTTGGGACACCTTCAACCACTCTCCTTTTGAGATTTGAACTTTATTCTGTTCTGAAAAAACCTGACGTGAGCCCCACAAAAACCACTTAAATACATTGTGTG